ATTTATCAGCTATAAATAAAATTATTATTTAATTTATCTAATTTATCTATAACTTAAATATATTATAGTAATTAAAACTCATCTAGATTTGATAATGTAAAATATAATTAATAAGAATATTGTAATTTATTTATTTAGATAATCATTTAGTTAGTTTTTTATTGACTTTTTCTTGTAATGAACAATGATCTAGATATGTTTATATAGTTTATTTATTGATTATAAGGTGGTTAGTTAGGAATATTAGTTTGTTACTTTTATCTAGATAGTTTGATATAGTAAGGTTTTCAAATTTGGTTATAAATAGTTAAATTAAAAATTTTATTATAATATCAGTTACTAGTTAATTACTAATTATATATTTTTATATAATATTAATTAATAAAAATATAACAAAGTCTTATATTGTTATGTATATATTTAAGTAATTTCTAATAAGATTATTTGGAGAAAGACATGAGTAATTGGTAAAATTATTGTGTAGTTATATAGTTGTATAGTTGTTAAATCTAATCATAAATAATTAAAGAATTGTTGTATTGTATTTATAATAATAGAGTTAAGTGTAAATAAGTTTGAACAAGTTAGTCAATATAGTTAAGTATTATATATATTGTATAAAATGTAATTAAGATTAGAATATATTGTTGAATAAAGAGAATATAAGTAAGATAATGTAAATAATATTTCTAACATAAGTTTAATTTTAAATATTTTTTTTTAATATAAAATAAAGCTAATATAAGATATAAATCTTTTATAATTATTGTTAAAAAAAGACAAGCAGTATTTTAGTTAATTTGTAAAGATAGAGAAAGGATATTTTCTATTCAATATTGAGAGAACCACATTGCTATGTTATAAGCATTACTAATGTTTTTAATAGTTCTATATATAGGTTACTTTATAGTATATTTGTTATAATAAAAATAGTATATATTGGTATAAAGAATACTAAATATATGTGATTAATTTTAATTTTAGTTAGTTTGTCAGTTATATCATTTAGTGTATTACTACTATATGTAGTTATTTTTTAAAAATTAATCTAATTTGGTATATAGTAATAAAGTTTAATAATATATATCATATTGATCAATAGTTATAAGAATATATTTTATTAGATATAAGTAGTAATTGTGTAAGTTTGTTATATTTGAAAATTATTAACTATAAATTAATATAAATAATAATAGTACTCATTTTGAGTATATGCTAATAGCAGAAAGAATTACTATGAGTTCTGTCTTGTATGATGAGAGTTAAAACTTAATTTCTATTGAATATTGATATAAAATAGTTTTATTTTGAATTTAAATTTAACAAATAATCATTTTATATCTATTATTAATAATGTTATTTACAGAACTATCAATATAAAATATAAATTGTAAATAAAATAAGTTGTTTTATACAGTTTATTGAAGAGTTTGTATAACTTAATTTTGTACAAAAATGTTAAGTATAATATTGTTGTATATTATAATATTAGGTTGTGAAAGTATTGTAATAAGATTTCATAATGCAATAAAATATAATAAGTTAAGTAAATTTGTATAAAAATTAAGTATAATATAGGAGTTAATAGTAACTTTTTTGACTAGAAATTTAGTTGTAAGATTGATAAGAATATTAAATATATATTTATTTTATATATAATTAGAATTAAGATACCACTTTATATATTATTTACAAATATAAGTAACTAGAAGATATAAGTAAATATGTAAAGTATCAAAATCAATTAACTAATATATTATAAATATTATGTCTTCTGTTTAGTTGTATTTTCTTGTTTTACTTATAATAATATTATTATGATTATGATTGTAAGCAATTATTCAAGGTTTAAGTGCATTTTTGTAATGTTCAGTACTAAATGAAATGGAGTTAATGTGAGGTAATTGTAGTTGGAAGCTTATTAATCTAGATTGGTGATTGATAATAATTGTGTTTTCTAAAGTAATGAACCATAATGACTTATGACCTTTAGATATATATTGAACTCTTGGAGATAAATGTTTCAGGCATGCGGTAAGTAGACCTAAAAGTACCAGAATTATTAGGCACTTTAGTGCTTAGCACATTTTTAGGCATAGTACTTTTTTAGCATAACACTATGCAAAATTCTAATAAAGAGTCATATACAAGACCGGGTCTCATACATTCCACCAACATTAAAACCTATAATAGACCACGAGTTAATATATGCTAAGAGTTTATATTATCAAGAAAAAAAATTTTAAGAGCACGCAAATTCTGTTCTTTATATGACTTTTACGGCGAATAATGCATCTTTCTTAAGAAGACGTGGTGCATTATGAGGGACATGATGAAGCGCTTGTAGACTTAAATTAAACATTAAAAACTAAATCATATAATACTTTTGCATTAAGAAATTGCGGATAACTTATCGCATGATAGGTAAATATAAAGAAGATTTAAATAAATTATTAGATGCTAATTTGATAATGAATTTGCATTAAGAAATCAAGATGCATCTTATTTGTCAAGTTTTCACTTCGTCAAAATTCCCTTCAAGGATTATTTTGTAGCACATAATTGATGATATCTCGTGATCCAGTAATAAGAATCGGATGACATTTGTACCATTCGATCCTGATCACTGGACCTCACGAGATATCACCAATTCGCCAAATTATCCAAAAGTTAAGCTTTTTGATAAGATGCATAATCATATTTAATGCACTTTAAACCAGGATTTATATTATTAGTTTTATAATTCTAAAATTATATATAAAGTTTAAAACAAAAAAAAATTTTTTTAATATTAATATAAAAAGTTTTATATTAGTTATTTTAACTTCGTCAAATTACCCTTTCTACCTTATGATACTTAATTAAATTGATTTTCGTATCACATATGTCAAGTAATAAATAATAAACTTAAATTCTCGATTCGAAGTTTTCCCTTGAAATATTTTCGGAGATGTTGCAATAGTTTTACGCCATGTATGATGATAATCTTTTTAAATATTGTCCTGAACAATATGTACACATATCATTGTAAGTAATGCTCCGCAGATGGGTACCCGAATAGAGCCGCAGGAGTGTATAATATTCCGCCGTCAAGCAATTGGGTAATGATAAAATAAGATGCAATTATTATCCAATTGTTTGACGACGGAATATTAAAAATTCTCACAGTTCCAATTTGTGTACCCGTTTGCGAATACTAATTGACAAAAAATATGTTAGTGCATCCATCGCACGCGGTAATTTTACTTACTAATAATATAAACCCAAAAACGAAATTAGTATGAAGTGTGTGGTAGAAATTTAAGATTACGTAGAACATTGGCATTTCTATCATTTTTAGTTAGTACGCCAACGTTTAACCATTTCTTTCAACGTTGCAAAAATATGAAATTCATTCAAATAATAGATTATTCCAAATATAATATAGATCGGCGAATGTTAATTTTTTTTTCTAATGTTAATATGGAAATAAAATACAATGCATAGTAAAAGCCATTATATCGAAATTCCGGAATAAGAATGATGATTTTTCCGATATTGATTACTGTATTTGCTTTTTGGCAGTGTCGTCATGCCTAATTGCATATATTTTTTACCAGACAATGGACATTCAAGATCCAATTTTGACAAATGTACATCGACATCATTTCCTTTGGGTGTCGGCATAGATGGGGACGAATTACTCTTCTTAATAAAAAGTTTTTGTTGAGATTGTTGCAATTATTCGATGGTGAAATTGATGAAATTAGTTTTCTAATATTAAAATTAATTCAAAAATTTATTAAATCAAATATAATAGTTGTTTTATTGCGCTTTTCAAATTACTGTGATCAGCAAATTTTACGTAACACACTGGAAATCAAAATAAATGCAAATCTGTGATTGGTTGAAGATAATTTTTAGCCAATCATGTATGTGCATTTATCTTAGATTTCCGATTTCCGGTGTACTTGCCGATCACAGTAATTCAATAAGTTTAATTTATAGACAAATTAAAATGATGAAATTGTTGTTGAAATTAAAAAGTTGAAAATAAATTTCACTTCCAACTATAGGTACAACAAATAAAATAAAATATGAAAAAGAGCATACGAAATTTAATTAAGCTTATTCATACAATCTTATATTTGAATCTTTATTTCTTATCAAAAATATTATGATTACATGTTTCATTATCAAGTTTAAAATTTTTTGCCACCCTTTTGCTTGCCTTATTATTATAAAATGCACTGTTGAACCCCAAGACCGATCTTATTAAAACAGATAACCGGCTAAATTTAATCTATCGAGTACATTCCTGCTACATATCTACTGTAATATAAAAAAATTTGATACCTCTCAATAAATTTGTTCACCGTGCATATTGATTTTGGGGTTCAATAGTAATATAAACATTTTAAATATTTAAATGATCTGACGTATAATATTAATCATAAATTATTTGTTCTTTTGAACTTAAACGTGATATTTAAATAAAGTATTTCAAAAAAAAAACCTAAGACTTACTGAAAAAATTTTGTTGACAATAGTTTGCTAGATTCGAAACACATAAAATTAAATTAAACTTAAACAGGTTAAATTTTAGTTGCCCAGGTCTAAACGGTCACAGTTTTTACGGCAACAAGTAATCATTAGTGTCACGCGATTAGATATGCCTTCTCCCCTGATTAGATGATAATCGATAATAATCATTCACATAATAAGCTCCGGACACATTGTTTAGTATAATACAAGAAAATTAAATTTGATCAAACTATCATAGCATATAATTTAATGAGTGAGTTTTAAATGACTTTCATATCACTAGAATTATTTTAATAACTATTAATCTTATTTAAACTCAATCGTTAGATTATATGTTATTACAATTTAATTTTCTTGTACTATATTAAACTTTAACCCGTTTAAATTTAATCCAATTTCGCTTGAATTTAGCAGGTCTAGTTCACATATAACATACCTAATCATAAAATAATAACGATCGTGTGTTGGTTAGTAACTCAATGTCTCTTTCTGCATTTTTTGTTAGCAAATTCAGAGGTTTGTAATTTGTCATAAATAAACTCATTAAGATAACTTCGAAAAGTGTTTGTTAATTCACCACTATTTTTTTCAGAAAATTTGTATAGTGATTGATCCCATTCCTTTAGCATACATTTCTTTCTTTTTCTTTTAGTTGTCGCTTTTGGGAGTATATTATAATCATCAAAGTTATCAATATCATTAATAATTTGCATGGGTAATTCAAATGACACATCCATATCAAATAGATCGGGTAAATAATGCTTAAATAATGGCGCCAAAATTTCAACGATAGTGCATTGAGATAAGATATCTAAATGCGATGGTAGATAAAAATTTTCAGCGTTACAATAGAACTTAAAAATGTTACAAATTGCTTGAAACACGTGTTGATTTATTCCAGTTGGTATGTCAACGTTTGTAGTATCTTGCTGTAGTTGTCGATCTAAGCTAATTCGTGTTTTCAAGATTTCTTCAAAACAAAGTTTTGTAATTTTTGCGTTAGTTCCAAATTTTCTGAGAACCCAGATATAGAATTTTGAGGGTAAAATGAGTTGTTTACTTTCAGAATCGATCATAGAATTTTGATTTTTGCTTAGATAGTGATTAAATGCTTTAATGAATGTAAATTCAGGATTCTGTATAAGAGCATAAAGAAAATTCCAAACTTGAGGTTTGTTCGAACAATGTTCAGATTTTAGTGTTTCGATTAGACAATTATCTAAGAAATTCTCTCGGTTGTCTTGTTTAATGAATATAAACGACTCCACCAACACTTCTCCAATATATTCCAATCTATCTTCAAATAAATAAAAGATCTTGCTAATGATGCTGTAATTTAATTGAAAACCGATGTTAATCAATTCCAAAAGTCGTTCAATAACAACTCTAACATCAGGTAAAGCCCATTCAGCTGAGGGGGTAGGTGGAAATAATAAGAGAAACGCCCCTTGAATTACAAGATCGTTTACATCATTACATATTTCGTGATATCCAATTTGTTTCCAGAGTAAAACCAAATGTTTGCAAATTAAGATTGCACGAGCGATTATATTAAGCTGCCTGTTATTTTCATATCCATCTTTAGGAGGATATTCTTCGGGAATAATTAGTTGTTTGCAAGGGTCATTTAATTTTCTAGGAGGTCTAGGTGGGAATGGGATGAATTTTTTGCGCAGTATTAAGTCCTCTATGGTCTCCAAATTTTTTTGTAAAATAGCTGGAACATCTTTGATCACATGTGGACCAGCAGAGAGGAAATGGAAAAGTTCCATATCGTTGCCTTTCATACAAAGTTCATCCATTTCAAATTGATTTTGAGCTACCGTTAGAAAATATGCAAAAACGGATAATTCCAAATCACTCGCCCAAGGAATACGTGCATTTTTCTGCAATGATTTGATTTGTTCCGTATCAATTTGTTTAACATTATGCGTGATCTTTTGTTCCATTAATTTTTGATCATATTTTCCGAAAGAATTCAGTAAACGCTGAATAAAGTACCTCGAAAGAATTGCGTCTTTCGCGATAATAGCCTTAGCAGTAGGTTCATCAAGGAACAATGGTCCTAACCTCACAGCATGAAAGAGAGCATGTTCTCTCCCATAATTTTGGATAATCCATTCGGCTTTAGCATCGCTATTTTTTGCAATCTCATGCCAGTCTTTACACGTGACTATCAGTGCTTTTGGGTATTTAATGTGTTTAAATATCCTAGTTTTGATGGATTTCGGAAGTTCTTTTTTGGCGTCCATATGAATTCATCGTGTCAAAAGTTGTAGTTTTATAAAGTTTTGATAGAAGCATTATTTTTGACATAATTATGAAATTAATTACAAATTTCAACGATTTCAACGCCAACTTAACCGAAAGTAGCGAAATTATTTCAGCAATGTCTTTATTATAATGCATCATACTTTAATATCAAATTAATCGAAAAAGGCTTTAAAATTATTTAAATCGAATGCACATAAGCTTATATTTAGAGCATGAACGTTTTGACTTGTTCTTAAATGTAAAGTACGCGAGTATTTTTTTTATTATTTATTGTACAATGTTTGATTTAGGAATTAATGAATGATCATAAAATACACGGCGTATCGGAGTTAAATTAGATTTGATTAAAACTTAATTTATGATAAAGTTCCTGTTAAAAATATTTCATGAGAAACGTTTTTATAATGTTTGATAATATTTATTATCTCTGCGTACTTAGTTTATAATTAAACTCCGAACTTCCCAATGTCATTTTTGTGGCGCTTATGCATGCAATTATGACTTATCGTTCATACTTATTTCAGCACTAAATGAGTATCTAATTTCGTCGAGCATGCATAAGCTTAAATTTTATTTTTAAATGATTTCTATACTATTTTGGTTGAATGGCATATTTATTATGAAGTGCCAATGCGGTATCACAAATATGTATAAACGGTTTTTTTTTGATTAAATTATCACACACTTATCTCATATAAAGTTACAATTTATGCCATATTGGGAGGGGTGCATATTAAAATTTCTATTTCGGGAACAACAAAGCCGATTTAGATCGACAATTTATCCTATTTGTGATAAGTAATTATGATAATTCAAAGATATGTGTTAATATTAATGTTCGTTGAAAGCTAAAAATAACTTTTTTATGGTGAATTCTCAAGAAAAGTACTTTAAAGCATATAAATAAGTTACCCGAGAAATTAACTAATTAGATGTACGTCTGTTTATGGCATAAAGTTTCGTCTAATCTATTCATATGATTTTAAAACTTTCGGATCTTGTACAATTTTTACGTGATTTTTCGTCATATGCACTGAAATTTTACGAGAAACATTAGATTTTTTTTTTTTGATCAGTTAATTAATCTATATAAGTTAATGATAAAAGAAATAAAGTTTAGCTAAAGCCTTTTGGTGATAGCTAAGTATTTTGGGTATTATTTAAGAATAAAGCTTAATTGTTTTGGTTTTTTCATGGTTCATATTAGTTATTTACTTTTATCGAGAAGGCTCGTATAATTGGTTTGTGTACATAAATTACCAGGGTAACTTATTTATACACTTTAAAGTAACTTTGGGAACGTAACGTTTCACTAACAAAAACAATCACCAATACGTGCGAAAGGGTGTCAACGTGCACTAAATAAAAATAATCGAAAATAATCAACCCGTAGAACTTCATTTAGAAGCGAAGATTTTACTATTCATTGCTTACTCATCATTATAATAACTTGTAAATGTTAAAGCATGAAATTTTCAACGAAAAAATGCTAAGAAGAACAACCAATACGTAAGTTTTTAAAGAAACCTTTATATCTCGAGCAGGATGGGACACTGCGTAGTAGATTCAAAAAATTCTCGATTTGCCATCCCTAGTCTTAAATATTACAGTCAGGATTTTACCAAAAATGAACAGTGTAGATCGCACCTTGTATAGTATGGAAATGTCGATCACATGATTCTGGATCATTTGGTTGTACGAAAATCGCATTAATTGACCAATCAAATTTAACCACAACAAATTTATTTAATAACTAAAATACGTTAGTTTTCATTTACCTTTTTTATAATGATTTATTGCAAGAGATAAAATAGGATTATTTAAAGTAGACATCTTATATTAGTTATTTATATATCATTTAATATTGAATAAATAAATAAAATATCAAAAGATCTCATGATGATAAAAAAATGTTATATAGCCAATCAAATACATGAATGACACAAAAATCATTCTAGAATATGATTTCTTAATTTAGTAAAATTTGACTGTATTAGATTTTATGGTAATATATTTGTGATCATTATATCATATAATTAATTATATAGTATAAAAAAAACATCAAGTTTATGAACATCTGAGATAGGTACAAATGTATATAAGTTGGTCAAAAACACCAGTCAGTCAGTTTACAGATACCAGAAACCTGTAAAATTTGTTATATAAATTAATGCAAATTAATACAAATTTATATATTTGTATTATTATATAATTTGTGTACTATATAATACAAAATTTGATTGGCTAATAGCAGATTACTAGTCAATTAAAATAGTTATATAATATGTAGTATAATCTTAAAAATTTTAATAATTAAATAGGTTTGACTGATTCATATTTGCTATTTAATTAAATCATATTGTAAGTTAATTTTTAGAATTACAGATAACTGAATTGAAGTAACAATCTTAATCCAATCTGAGATTATACAAAAGTAACAGAAATGTTATTTATGTTACTTATATTATTTTTTAACTTTATTTGCAAATAAGTTAAATAAAATAATAAAATTTTATTAGTTTTAGTTAAAATATAGAGTATAAGAAATATATTGCATTTATAAAAGAAATTAACTGCAAATATAAACAAAATAGTTATTATAAATAAAAGGTATTTTTGTCTTAAGAAAAAATAATTTTTATATTTTTAACAAAATTTTCTAATAATAATAAATTCTTTAATTACAATAAATACTTAACTCCTAATATAAATAAAAGTCTACTCTATACAAACTAATAAACCATCACTAAATTCTGTTATTATTCTTATTATTCATCAAATAACACCTCTAAACTCATTATTGATTACTTATCACAAGTTATATAACTGAACTAAAATGTAATAAAGAAGTTTTAATCTTGATTTGATGAAGTGTAATTCTGAGTTGAAACATAGAAGAGAAGATCAGAGAAGACAAAGATTAATAGAAGAATTAGTTAAAGGAAAAACTTAAAAATAAAGACTAGTACTTATCTATAAATAAACTATTAGCCAAATCTAATATGTTTATTTTGACTTAACCACTATAGGTTATGTAAAAGTTAAATTAATTTAGCAACAAACTTACTGATTCTGGAATTACAATATATATTACTAAAAAAATATAAATATTAAATAATTTTTTTTTACTATTAAATTAAAAAAAATAATTAAAAGTTTGTAATAAAAAAGAAATATATATTAACTCTTTTTGACAATTATCTAAACCAAACTTTTTAAAAAGCTAAACTACAAAAAAACAATATAGTTAATATATTAAACTTTATAAAAACCTTTTTTAATTACTGTACATATATAATTAAATATTGAAATAGAGTTAAAAAAGAATTGCAGCTTTGTAGTAACAGTTTAAAGAGTACTTTGGAATTATAAAAGAAGTAATTAGTAAAAGCCAAGGTTTTTTATCAAATAAATAGCAAAATTAAATATATTAGTTCTATAAAACTATAAAATATACAAGAAACATTCACAAGGGTTAAGAACTCACAAAAGTTAAAAATAGTTTTTTTAGTACTTTTATTTTTTTTGAGAAAAATTTTATAAAAGTAGGTAATTTAGTTTACTTCTTCTAAAGATTGATATATAAAATTACCAAAAAAGTTATCAGTATTTATTTTCTAAACAGAATTGTTTATAATATAAATTAGAAATAATACAGCAATATAAATATAACTATATATATGTCTTGAGCTGCTAGAAACTTAGCAAATACTATTTTCAGACTAACTAGTATTTTATGCCAACTTTCTATAATAAAGTTAAAGTTTTTTCTTCTTTTTGGTTTTTTGTTTAAATAATCTAAATAAATAGAAAAATAGTAAAATAATTTTTATTTAGTATAGTTTATAATTTTTATAAGCCTAGTATAGGCTTATAATTATAATTGTCTGATATTTGTAAATTACAAATTTTATATCTAATACAAACTTAAAATTGTAACTATTTAATTTTTTGTAAATTGCAAGTTTTACACTTTCTTTTTTTCTTGTTTATTTACTTTCTCTTTTTTATTTCTTGTTTTGTATCTTTTATTATTTATTTCTATACTTCTGTTTTTTTTTGTTTTATATAAATTTTTTTTTTATTTTTTTGCTTCCTTATAAGAATACATTATCAGATTGGTGATATTCTATTATAAGAGGCAGTTAAACAAAGCTGTCTATCTCTGTTTGGAGTAGTATAGCAGGTTACACTTAGATACATATAAGATGACCAGATGATGCTGAACTTAAATATAAAAAAATTCTTAATAATTTGTATAGTATTAAGAATTCTAATAAAGTACTAGCATAACTGCTTAAGTTAAAAAAAATAATAATAATAAAAAAAATAAAAAAAATTAATTAAAAAGCAAAATTATTTTTTTTGATGTTAAGGTGAGGCCTTGTTTATATCTTTATTAGTAATTTTAGTTGTATATATTAATATACTATATATTAAAGATATACTAAGATTGTAAAATACAAAATAAAACTATATACAAGAATTAAAGCTTAAATAACTTTATCTGTAATCTAAACTAACTATAGTAGTTAAGACCTATCTAGATTTATAATATTAGAATATGATTGTAAGATGAGCTATGATTAATTCAAAGTATTAATTATATATTGATTTTTCTAATAGTCTGTTCAATTAGTAGACAAGTATTAGAACATAAGTGTAATTGATCTACTATTATATATAGACATAAGTATATATAGTTTGTATATAATCTTTTGGAATGTCTAGCTTGTTGTATCTGTTATAAAGTATTGTGAATATTATAAGTTTGAAAAGATGTAATATTATTATTCTTTTTTTAGTTAAAGAGGTCAATGCAATATAGTTTCTATTTTTGGTTGTAAATTTGATCATTAATATCAAGAAGTATTTAAATAATAATTTGTAAAGCTATCTTAGTTGGTATATTATAGTTATAAAATTGTTTCAATTAAGACTTTAGGTATAATGCCTTTAAGAATAAGGTCAAGATAGA